CTTGTCAATCATTATACCTGTAACCAAATCTATATATCCCAAGACCCCCTCCCAAAAAGGTGACATTTTGGACAGGGCCACAAAGGATGTGCCAAGGTAGGCCTTTATAACTTACGTGACATATTCCTGAATTCAGAAAAGAGGGATTTGTTATAAATAGAAATATACACTCACAGGCCACTTTATTAGGTACACCTTGCTAGTACCTGTTGGAATCCCTTTTGCCTTCAGAACTTCCTTAATTCATAGATAGATTCAGCAAGGTGTTGGAAACATTCCTCAGAGATTTTGTTCCATATTGACATGAGTTACTGTTGCCTTTCTATCATCTCAAACCAGTCTGACCATTCTCCTTTGACCTCTGATATCAACCAGGCATTTTTGTTCACACAACTGCCACTCACTGGATATTTTCTTTTTTTTTGGACCATTCTATGTAAACCCTAGAGATGGTTTGAAAATCCCAGTAGATCAGCAGTTTCTGAAATACTCAGACCAGCCCGTCTGGTACCAACAACCATGCCACATTCAAAGTCTACTTAAATCCACTTTCTTCCCTATTCTGATGATCAATTGAACTTCAGCAGGTCATCTTCACCATGTCTAGATGCCTAAATGCATTGAGTTGCTGCCATGTGATTGGCTGATTAGAAATTTGTGTTACCAAGCAATTGAACAGGTGTACCTAATAAAAGTGACCAGTGAGGGTTTGCTCTATATATAACATTACATTGAGTTTTTCTCATTTACAGTCATTTTCCAGACCTTATTATATCCCTCTAATAGTTATTATTCCTTAATTAGTCCTATCACAGCAACAGGACCCTGAATAACCAGATATTTGTAAATAGTAGAGATAATGTTGCCTCGGAATATTAAATTCTGTAGAAATCCTTTCAAATGACTTCAATAAATAGGAATGACTGTGGTACAGTTGACATGTTGTGGTCAGTCCATTCTGCCTCCAAGAGGTGCAATTTCAAAAAGTGGCTGTGATAAAAAAAAAAAAAAACCATGAAGAAGGGTTGCCAAGGCTGTCAATACACATAAGCACTTACCTCTGCCCACTGTATGCAGCAAAAATAAAAAAAAGAACTTAATGAAGGCTGAAACTTTAATCCCAAACAGAAACCAAACAGCTCCATCAAAAGGAATGGACAAAAAGCCACCCCTCAGGATCCATTAAAAGACTACATACAGTCAGGTCCATAAATATTGGGACATCGACACAATTCTAACATTTTTGGCACTATACACCACCACAATGGATTTGAAATGAAACGAACAAGATGTGCTTTAACTGCAGACTGTCAGCTTTAATTTGAGGGTATTTACAAATCAGGTGAACTGTGTAGGAATTACAACAGTTTGCATATGTGCCTCCCACTTGTTAAGGGACCAAAAGTAATGGGACAGAATAATAATCATAAATCAAACTTTCACTTTTTAATACTTGGTTGCAAATCCTTTGCAGTCAATTACAGCCTGAAGTCTGGAATGCATAGACATCACCAGACGCTGGATTTCATCCCTGGTGATGCTCTGCCAGGCCTCTACTGCAACTGTCTTCAGTTCCTGCTTGTTCTTGGGGCATTTTCCCTTCAGTTTTGTCTTCAGCAAGTGAAATGCATGCTCAGTCGGATTCAGGTCAGGTGATTGACTTGGCCATTGCATAACATTCCACTTCTTTCCCTTAAAAAAACTCTTTGGTTGCTTTTGCAGTATGCTTTGGGTCATTGTTCATCTGCACTGTGAAGCGGCGTCCAATGAGTTCTGAAGCATTTGGCTGAATATGAGCAGATAATATTGCCCGAAACACTTCAGAATTCATCCTGCTGCTTTTGTCAGCAGTCACATCATCTATAAATACAAGAGAACCAGTTCCATTGGCAGCCATACATGCCCACGCTATGACACTACCACCACCATGCTTCACTGATGAGGTGGTATGCTTAGGATCATGAGCAGTTCCTTTCCTTCTCCATACTCTTCTCTTCCCATCACTCTGGTACAAGTTGATCTTGGTCTCATCTGTCCATAGGATGTTGTTCCAGAACTGTGAAGGCTTTTTTAGATGTCGTTTGGCAAACTCTAATCTGGCCTTCCTGTTTTTGAGGCTCACCAATGGTTTACATCTTGTGGTGAACCCTCTGTATTCACTCTGGTGAAGTCTTCTCTTGATTGTTGACTTTGACACACATACACCTACCTTCCGGAGAGTGTTCTTGATCTGGCCAACTGTTGTGAAGGGTGTTTTCTTCACCAGGGAAAGAATTCTTCGGTCATCCACCACAGTTGTTTTCCGTGGTCTTCCGGTCTTTTGGTGTTGCTGAGCTCACCAGTGCGTTCCTTCTTTTTAAGAATGTTCCAAACAGTTGTTTTGGCCACGCCTAATGTTTTTGCTATCTCTCTGATGGGTTTGTTTTGTTTTTTCAGCCTAATGATGGCTTGCTTCACTGATAGTGACAGCTCTTTGGATCTCATCTTGAGGGTTGACAGCAACAGATTCCAAATGCAAATAGCACACTTGAAATGAACTCTAGACCTTTTATCTGCTCATTGTAATTGGGATTGGGGAATAATGAGGGAATAACACACACCTGGCCATGGAACAGCTGAGAAGCCAATTGTCCCATTACTTTTGGTCCCTTAACAAGTGGGAGGCACATGTGCAAACTGTTGTAATTCCTACACCGTTCACCTGATTTGGATGTAAATACCCTCAAATTAAAGCTGACAGTCTGCAGTTAAAGCACATCTTGTTAGTTCCATTTCAAATCCATTGTGGTGGTGTATAGAGCCAAAAATGTTAGAATTGTGTCGATGTCCCAATATTTATGGACCTGACTGTGTGTAGTAACATCATAATGGGCAAAAAGTTTCTAATCTAAGTGAAAAGTTTTTGCTTTTTTAAATACTTTTGTATAAATGTAGGTCTACATGTAACATAAAAAAAACTCTCCGTATTATTTTTTTTTTCCATGCATAAAAATATTTTTTCTTTTGTTCTACAACCACTTTTTCTGTGAGTATAAAGATCAATGAACCTGAGACAGACAAATAAATTAATATCTTGGAATGGAACAATTCAGGTGATTTATGGGCAGCACAGTGGCTAAATGGTCAGCATGCCTGGTCGTTGGTTCGAATCCCAGCCACGGCTCCACCTGCCTGGAGTTTGCATGTTCTCCTTGTGCCTGCTTGGGCTTCCTCCAGGTACTCTGGTTTCCTGCCACACTCCAAAGTTATGCTGGTAGGTTAATTGGCTCCTGTCTAAATTGGCCCTAGTATGTGTATGTATGAATGTAAGTTAGGGACCTTAGATTGTACGCCCCTTGAGGGTTAGGGACTGATGTGAATGTACAATATATATGTAAAGTGCTGCGTAAATTGATGGCACTGTATAAGTACCTGTAATAAACAAAAAAATAAATAAATTACACTGTCAATATAACTATTAGACATACAGAGATTGATTTACGAAAAACTGGAGAGTGCAAAATCTGGTACAGCTGTTTATGGTAGCTAATCAGTTTCCAATTTCAGCTTGTTCAATTAAGCTTTGATTGAAAAAAAAAAAAAAACCTCGAAGCTGCTTGGCTTCTATGCAGAGCTACACCAGAGTTTGAACTCTCCAGGTTTAGTAAATCAGCCCCACATCTCCTCTATTTTGGTAAACATTCATCCTCTGTTTCCTCCCTATTTCTTGTGTCCATTCTTTCCTAGGTAGTAATAAATATTGCCTATGCAAAAATGAGCAAGACTGATCATCGTCATGCTGTTAAACCTGTCACCAATGAGTATCCATACCCCTTCCCCATAGAAAGGAGAATAATCAATCCACTGCACACATTCTTCCGTCAAATGTCTGGCAGATTAGTTGAGGTAGATTTGTGATTAGGACAAGGACAAACAGACCATCTGTGAATCTTAGTGAGAAATTTGTCTATCAATCAGTGGATTTAAGTTCAAAACACCACTTTAAAACTTAAGAAACTTTTTTTTTTTAAATGTGCAAATCAGTATTTGCACATAAACTGGACATATAACCTTGCCTCTATGTAATTTCAGAAAAACAAAACAAAACTTCCCTTTCTGTGGAAAAAAAAATCTAGTCAAACACATTTGGAGAAACTAAAAAGAAAAAAAAACAGAAGCTGTATGTGGTCACTACTTTTCAGCAATTCATAACTTAAAGTGGTTGTAAACCTCTGATATGAAATACAAAAAAAACATATTCATCTATAGTGTGTACTTGTCTCAACTGTCTTTCGCTGCTATCAGCATGAGTCACATCTGACACGTTTTCCTGACACCAAGAGATAAAAAGGTGACAGGGGAGGGAGCTCCAGAACACAGCCTGTGATTGACAGTCTGTTCCTGTGTGCTCTGTGAAGGGGGTGTGTCTCCTTCCTCCAATCAGCTCTCAGAGCTCTCCTCACTAAGTTCTACAGTGTGTATTTTCAGCCCTTCAACCCCTGTTTTCTGAAAGCTCAGTCAAGCTGTATAAATTATGTTCTTTGAACGGCTGTAGAGAAGAGAAGACTGCAGATAAACAGGTACAAAATTATGTAGCATTATTTGTTTCAGCTCTGTGTATCACCTGGAATAGAATAGAAAATAAAAGAATTGAATAGAATACAATTAAACAGAATAAAATTAGAATTTAAATAAAGGAATAGAATAGTAAAGAATAGAATAGAATAAAACAGAATAGATTAGAAAATAAAAGAAGAGAATAGAACATAACAGAATAGAAAATAAAATTAAAGAATAGAATAGAAAATAAAAGAATAGCATAGAAATGGATAGAATAGAATAGAAAAAAAAACAGAATAAATTCAAATAGAGTAAAATATGATGCATATAGCCATCTTCTGAAATTCAAATTTCAAATCAATTAAAAAATAAGGAATATATGAAAAGAAGCCGTATATATGAAAGAATGCCGAAAACTAATCATTCTAACATAACGAATATGATGAAACAAAATTATTAACTTAACCCCTTCATGCCTAAGGGTAAAACAAATCCTAACGCCTAAAACGCAATCTTGCAACTTTGATATGTGTTAGTAAAACCGTACATATCATCACAACTACTTTGCACATCCAGATGAATTATACCTTGTTTTTTTGTCAGGACAAATTAGGCTTTCATTTGGTGGTAAATGGTAATGCATATCTCCTGATTTGTTTTTATTATCAAAGGAATTCTGTCCCAAAATAGTAATAAAAAAAAAATTTCTTTTTTTTTAAATTTAGCTGTGTGTTTCTTGTTACTACCATAACCTACCACAAAGCAGCGATACCATATACAGTTGCAAGAAAAAGTATGTGAACCCCTTGGGTTTACGTGGAGTTTTGCATGAATTGGGCATAAAATGTGCTCTGAACGTCATCTAAGTCACAACAATAGAAGAACACAGTCTGCTGAACATAATATACTACACAAACATTAGATGTTGCCATGGTTTAATTGCACATAACATGTAAACATTCACAGTGCAGGGAGGAAAAAGTATGTGAACCTTTGGACTTAATAACTGGTTGACCCTCCTTTGACAGCAATAACCTCAACCAAACATTTCCTGTAGTTGCAGATCAGACCTGCACAACGACCTGGAGTAATTTTGGACCACTCCTCTTCACAAAACTGTTTCAGTGTAGCAATATTGGTCTTGGGATGTCTGGTGTCTGGTGTGAATCGCTCTCTTAAGGTCATGCCGCAGCATTTCAATCGGGTTGAGGTCAGGACTCTGACTGGGCCACTCCAGAAGGCGTATTCTGTGCTGTTGCAGCCATTGTTTTGTTGAATTACTTGTATGCTTTGGGTCAATGTCCTGTTGCATCACCCATCCTCTGCGGAGCTTCAGTTGGCGGACAGATGGTCGTACGTTTTCCTGCAAAATGTCTTGATAAACTCTGGAATTCATTTTCCCATCAATGACAACAATCCGTCCAGGCCCTGAGGCAGCAAAGCAGCCCCAAACCATGATGCTCCCTCCGCCATGTTTTACAGTGGGGATGAGGTTTTGATGTTCGTGTGCTGTGCCTTTTTTTTCTCCACAGATAGTGTTGTGTGTTCTTCCCAAACAACTCAATCTTGGTTTCATCTGTCCACAGTATATTTTTGCCAGTAGTGCTGTGGAACATCCAGGTGCTCTTTTGCAAACTTCAAACATGCTGCAATATTCATTTGGACAGCAATGGCTTCCTCCGTGGTGTCCTCCCATGTACTCCATTCTTGTTTAATGTTTTCCTTATTGTAGATGTGTCAACAAAAATGTTAGCATGTGCCAGAGATTTCTGTAGGTCTTTAGCTGACACTCTGGGATTCTTCTTAAACCTCATGCAGCATTCTGCGCTGTGCTCTTGCAGTCATTTTTACAGGACGACCACGACTAGGGAGAGTAGCAACAGTGCTAAACTTTCTTCATTTGTAGACAGTCTGTCTTACCGTGGACACATGAACATCAAGGCTATTGGAGATACTTTTGTAACCCTTTCCAGCTTCATGCAAGTCAACAATTCTTGATCGTAGGTCTTCTGAGAGCTCTTTTGTGTGAGGCATGGTTCACATCAGACAGTGCTTCTTGAAACCAGTAAACCCAAAACAGGTGTGTGTGTTTTTTAAGGGCAGGACAGCTGTCAGCAACACATCCAATATCATCACACTGATTGGAGTCAAGGTTGGCTCACTCCTGGCTCCAATTAGCTCTGGGAGAAGTCATTAAGCTAGGGCCTCACATACTTTTTCCTCCCTGCACTGTGAATGTTTACATGTTATGTGTGCAATTAAACCATGGCAACATCTAATGTTTGTGTAGTATTATGTTCAGCAGACTGTGTTCTTCTATTGTTGTGACTTAGATGACGTTCAGAGCACATTTTTTTATTCCCAATTCATGCAAAACTCCACATAATCCCAAGGGGTTCACATACTTTTTCTTGCAACTGTATGTGTATGTTATTTGTTGTTTGTACCAACAGTACAGTCCAGAAACAAGAGTGCGCATTTTGTTTTTTTTGGTTTTTTTTTTACATAAAGCACACTGACACTAACTGACACTAACACCAATTTAAGAAAAAAAAATCCTGACCTTTGACCCTGATTTTGACCCCAACACTAACCCTGGCACTGAGCTAGATCAAACGTTGATCTCAGTATTTTTTCTTTATTTTTTTTTTCTTTCATTTTTAATATTTATCTTTTTTTCTTTTTTTTTAGCAAACAGTTTTTTGGGTTTGTATCCTCTATGCAAGGAGAGAGAGAGATACAGTGTATACACTGTATCTCTCTCCTCCATTCTTAGAGGAGGGCGGGCTGTACAGTGACTGATCACGGTGATAGCCAATCAGAGGCTATCACAGCGTGTGACCTGGAATCGGGAGTCCTGGGTCTTGATCTCAGTGACACCCTGGTCTTTGTGCTGGGAGCGCGCTGTGCGGCGCGCTCCCAGAACAAAGAAAGGTATGCAAAAATGCGGCCCCACAGAAAAAAACCCAGTTCCGTGAGGCCGCATATTTGTGTGATGTCGGTAGGAAGGGGTTAACGAACGTATCCAAAATGAAACAAAACAAAATGTTTACCTCATGCACATCTCTATTTACAATCAATTTTGGTGCTGAAAGCGGTACCATTATTTTGCATGGAAATTTGGCGTTTTATATTGTAGGCCTGTAATTCTTAGAAATAACTCACTGAAATCTGTCCGAACAAGAGTCTAGTAAACATCCCGGGTATGATAAAATTTGAAACACGAAATCATAAATTATAATATAATAAATAATCATAAAAAAATAATATAATAATAATAAATTTAATTCAATAATATAATCAAACCAAAAACACTGAAATTTGAAATATAGCGCCAAGTTCACACATCACTGAGCAAAGTCGCAAAATTGTTTTCAGTGTCTGATGACGAATTTCCCCACGAATCATTATCACTCAATTCTGCAAGTGGTTCTGATTTACTATCGCTGTTCTCTAGCTGGTCTAAAACCAATTTTGACCTAAAGGGACGCTTTTTGGGCGCCATGGACGTTTCTCAGTTTCCAGGCAGAAAGAACAGTAAAAATGCAGGCAGGGCGCCGGACAAAGCACTCTGGACAAAATGTATGTGAAATGGTTTGATACAGTAATGTTTTACTATGTGATTTTAGTGATTTTAGTGAATGTCACTTTTTGTCATTTTCAAATTTCCCGCCAATTCCGTCCCCCGTACGTCCCAACGCTCGCAGGGGACGGAACCCAGAAAACAGATGCCGGCATTACATTGCCGGGGACACTGCAGGAGGGACATCGCGGGAGCGCAGGACAAGGTAAGTGACCGAGGGATCGCGGAGCAGCGCCGTATGGTAAGTCCAAGTGTAGCTCGGGGTTACCGCTTGTGGTACTGAAACTTTACCCCGAGCTACACTCGGGAATACCGCCAGGGAGGTTAAAACAATTTATTGATATTTATTTTCAGTCTGTATCTCAAAGGCTGTTTTTTTTCTTTTGAACATGTGACCAGCAGCAGTGGACTAGAAGCTCCTCCTGCCACCAGGGCTGTCTTTAAAGCAGGGCAAATGCTTCCAAGGCCCAGTCATTGTTGTGGGGACCAAAGCAGTTGCCACTAGAGAGCCCGTGCTGTCCAGGTTGCTAGTGCAGTCAGCTGTATTTACCTCCTCTTGTACTGGCGGAATAATCTGCCCTCTTCCTCTCCCCGCACAGCTTCAATTCCACTGGGGGTGCTGCAGCTCCTGTGTTGGCATGTGCTGGGAGTCTGGGGCCATCTGCTTCTTGGTCCCCCTCCGAGGTCCCACTGTGACAGTGTCTGATCACTATACCAAGCAGCAAGCGCCGAATGCCGCCTGTGTCCACACTGACTGGCACCTGCCTGCTGTGGAGGAGGAGGGGAGAGCCGGACCAGGGTCAACTGAGTCAATTTAGGTAAGACCACATACAGGAGACACATTGGGAGGGCACCTTAACCTGTACACTGCAGGAGGGAGCACAGTGTTCCTGCACTGCTGTCCCTGCACTCTGCACTGATTTACTATCCCAGGGGGTTTCCATTCTAATGTCATCCTACAATAGGAGGGGACCCTGGACTGGAGGTAGCTGTCTTTCTATGGAGGGGCCCTGGACAGGAGATAGTAGTCTCTCTATGGAGGGGCCCCCAGCCCCTAAACGGAGGTGGCAGTCTCCCAATGGAGGGGCCCCTGGACTGAAGGTAGCAGATTCTCTACGGAGGGCCTCCATAGGGAGACTGCTACCTCCAGTCCAGTGGCCCCTCCATAGGAAGACTGGCACGTTCAGTCCAGGGGCCCCCCCCATAGATAGAAGGCCATGTTAACTGCTAGCAATCAATCGGTTGAGTGGTAATGATGTGCAGTAACCTCTAACAACCAGTTAGTGAGTGGGAATTATGTGCAGTAACCTCTAACAACTAACCAGTGAACAGTAGTGATCAGCTGTAATATCTCGTAACCAGTGAGCAGTAATAATGTGCAGTAATGTCTAGCAACCAATCAGTGAGCAGTAATGATGTGCAGTAACCTCTATCAGCCAAGCAGAAATTATGTGCTGTAACCTCTAGTAACCAATCACAATTGCTCCCTGATCTGCTGCAGTATACTGATTTTGAGTCTAGCTGCTATTTATTGTACAGGCGTAGACAAAAATATGGAAACACTACATGATTTCCAAGTGTGAAAGTGATGGCGTGTTTCGTGTTGAAAGTGGAAGTGATGTAACATTCTTTTGCTTCCTAGCTAACAGGTGGGAAACCTCATTATCGTCATTCACTGCATGCGATGCTAGTAATGCAGAGTCATGTCAGAGCCTCAAAGAGGGCAAATTGCTGGTGCTGCTTAGTTGGTGTCTCTGTGACTGAAGTTGCCGTGTCATGAGGTACAATATATACTTATACAGTTCCTGGGAAAACGTCATCTGATATGCATAAGTGCAGTCCACATGGTCAACTAACCAAATTTCCATTTTTTTGTCTATTCCCTGTATGTTTTAGAGCAGGTGGAGAGCAAAATTGCATGGGGAGGCCTAAGAAAATGTTTGCCCAGGGTCCAATTAATATTAAAGACAGCCCTGCCTGCCACTGTTTCCCTGCAAACAGGCCGGGAAAGAGCTGGGTCATGCAACAGCTGTATGTTGAGTAGGAAAAAGGTACTTAGCTTTTTTTTTTTAATTAAAATAATTACAGTGCCATTATCCACATACAGAAAAAGATCATGTAGTAAATTAAACAATCTGTGTTTAGTATCATTTTAAAGGAAATCTCCCAAAGTGAGGAAATTTCCCCAGCTAGAAGGTTGTCCTCAGAACAGGTGTTTCCACTGAAAGATTTCCCCTCACCTCTTGTTCGGGTGACTGTCCTAAAATTTTGAATTTCCCCTCTCAGTGACAGTGATGAACAGTACAAATAGAGGGGTCAATCCCCTCAATGGGGACACAGACAGCATTAAATCTTAACAAAGGGGCCCAACCATTGCCCACTCTAATCAAAAATCAAAATGTTTTGCCTATAGTTACACTTTAATCTACACGCCTTTTTGTATTATCTATACTGGTTGTCTGTTTGCACTGGAATTCGCACTGTATGGCAGAAGCGCATGGTCTCGTTACACTGCCTATGGTGATTTGTTTTATATGGAAAAAAAACTTGTAAAATAAAAAACAAAGCTTGTGAGCTTCAATTCCTCAGGTCCTATTACAGCTGAAATATCAAAGGTGCATGAATGCCACTTGCTAATCGGAACACAATTTAGCCCTGGGATTAAACTTGAATTATGTTCTAAGCTTTGTTAGATAATAAAAGTTAGAAGATAAAACTGGTTACAGAGCCTGGAGAATGCGTCACACAAAGCGGCAGACTGTGCTCAGTTCACAGAGTCTACCAACCTACATAGAGACAACCGGCAAAGTGCCAGATATATCCATTATAATATTACAAAGGATTAAACCTTCACATCTTGGCCCTCTGATCAGCTTCCCTATAATGCTCCATTAATTGATATGTCATTCATAATATAATGCCTTCACTATAATGCCCCAGTAGCATATACTCAATTTTTTGCTGCCCCCACTGATCCATTCAGCTGCCAGGGGTAGAGAAAATTCCCTATACCTCCAGGTATAGAGGTGCAAGTGACTCTTTTTTTTTTTTTTTTTTTTTTAATGGTTGAACTGGATGGTCTTTTTCAGCCAGACTAACTATGTAACTTCCCTTAATCTCATTCATTAGTGCTGATAGTTGCTGCGTAGCCCAACACTGTCCGAGTACTGATTATGGAGACTCAGGGCTTCTTTTCCTCAGGCCTAGAGGTTGAATGGAGCAGGAGGAGACTGAAAGAAGGTAGAAGTATAAACTGCTGAGGAGGGGGTATTAACACAAACCTGTTGCATGACATGGCCCAGTTTTGCTTTCAATGTCCCAAATGTACAGCTATACAAAACCTCATACACATACAGTAACTATCTAAAGGGCCCCTTGATGTATGCATGATACACACAATATAGTGATGTGCAATGAGCATGGCCAGCTAGAGGTCAGTTCTGGAAACAATCAAAAGAAGTGCTAATACAATGTAGCAGATAATGCAGATTTGCACAAAATAGAAAGCTCGCTCGATTTACTGTAATCCATTGCTGCCACATTTCACAGAGCTCCTCACATGTGGGATGGGTAAATCTGCTTTCTGAATGTGACAACTGCAAATGCCGTACTGTCTGATTTACCATCAGTCATACTGAAACACTCAAATCCAATCAAATGACTCATTAAGGATTGGCACCTTTGGGGGGGCGGGGAGCGGGTACCCGAATTTGACAGGTACCCGCTCCCACTTCCGGTTCGATCGCCTAGGCAATTGGAAGCTGAAGGTGTCCTCCCTCCCTCCCTGTAGTCTTTTGGGACATGTGACAGGTCCCAGGAGACTACAGGACCATTCATGAAGTGCAGCGCTACTCACGCATGTGCGCAGTGGGTACCCGGCTGTGAAGCTGCAAGCTATCACAGCTGGATGCCCACACTGAAGATGCTGGCCTCCTGGAATACAGGACGGCCGGTGAAACAGGCTGCAGGGGACACACCGTGGGACCGAAGGACAGGTAAGTGGCTGTTTTTTAAAAGTCAACAGCTACAGTTTTTTGTAGCTGCTGACATTTATTTTTTTACAGGGTGAGCGGAACTCCACTGTAAAAGATAAGTTCACCTTTTGGATAAAAATAATAAATGCACATTTTTTTTGCAGGTAAAAAAATTTGCATTTATTATTTTTGTCCAGAGGAGCCTGGAAAGCATTGCACCAGCGATCAGTAGATTGCTGATGCCATGCAGGTCTCCTGCAGATCTGTCAGAATATCTGCTTGCCATACGGGATGTACAGTCAAGCAATTATACTGACAGGAAGCTTCAATGGCAATGGATTTCCACAGTGCTTCACAATGCCATAGTAGTCCATTGAAAACTACAAGCCGACAGCCGCTAAGGCTTCCTGGGACATGTAGTGACGCGGCCGTGTGGGCGGAGCCCTGCACAGCTGCCCTGTTTTCCAATGATCTGACAGATCGTACGAGGAAAACTTCTCCCCTGTCAGAAGGGGGAAAACAGTACATTTACAATACTATTAATACATGAGGATTCACAGGGCCCTGCTCATTAGAGCTCACAATCTAAGAGGGAGGGTCGAGGGATACAAAAGGTGATAACTGTGGGGGATGGGCTGATGAACAAAATACATGTATACTTGTTAGGTGGGGGCAGGGTAGGCCTCTCTGAAAAGATGAGTTTTTAAGGATCGTATGAAAGTGGACAGAGATGGAGATAGTCCGACACATTGGGGGAAGAGAGTTCCAGAGGATGGGATGTTTCAAAGGTGAACTTATCCGATAAAGCCAGGCAACTAGCAATCACAAAAGGAGATTCAGACTGATCACCTCCATTATACTTTCATGATAGATTCCCTTTAAAGTGATATTAAACCCTCAGTTTTGTAAGCACTTTAAGGCAACAGATTTAAAAGTAGACTCCATGAAATAAAGAACGCCATGTAAATGTTTTTGTCCAATGTAGTGGGGCTGTGCCTGCACTGCATGGGTTAACTGCTTGTTTTGTCCAGGAAGCCCCAGAAAGGCTATACATACCCAATCCTTCGAACCTCCAAAAATGCTGCTCCCCCACACCCAGCGGTAGACTGTTCCTGCTGTCCTCATGCCCGGAGCTGGTCTATGGCTGTAATGACATCAAGAATAGTCCATTCACAAGAC